GTAGTGGAAAGAGGCGCAAATCAGCTGACTGCCGGAGGTATCAGGTGTTATTGTGCTGCTGTGTTTGAGCTATTCTACGTTATTTTCAGTAGTTTTTCCGACTAAAATGCATTCTAAATATTATATATTAACGAAAAATTGTGAAACGTGAGAAAAATATTCATTCCCTGTGTGTTGACAGAATGCTGACTTTTCATCGAATAGATATGCTGAGGTGTATTGGAGCTGTCAGAATTAGTTGTAAAGTGTAAATTATGATAGGAAATACTAAATAATTCCCGTTATTGGAACATGTACCAAGTGAATGATGAGGAAGAGCGTTGAATATCAGGGTAATTATAATTTCATGATACAAAATTTCACAGTCATTAAGCAAGTGAGTTGATTAATTTGTGAGATAACGGTGAATCGACAGTCATCTACTTGGTAGATACGGTGTTTTAAGCTTTTTATACAGCTCATCATTTCTTGACTGAAGTTTTGTCTGTTTTATTTTCCAGATTATGGTTTTCACTTCCGCAGTCACTCAGTACATTTGGACTTTCTATGGAAGTTAAAACGGATAATATGTTTGTGAATGATGGAATATTTGTGATGTTATGAATGTATTCATTGAAATAAATATTTTAAAACATTAGCACTCCACCCGTACATTAACAATGCTTATTGTTACTCGAGTTGAAAAGTGATGCCAGTTTAGAAGATGCAATTCGCGGAAAATGTCACTTGTACACGTGACTGAATTGGAGGATAATTGGGTACTAATATTGTTTCACACTAATTGCTCACGCTGGTAAACTGTAAGCAGGCGCTATGCATAGCGAAATCCTACCTAGTAAATTACAGTATTTTGTGACAACAGAATAATCAACGAAGTTGAGTGTCCGCAATTCGTATAGAAGTACTTTTGATGTGAAGAGGCTACCAACAAACCGTAGTCACTTCTTCTAGAAACAGTGTCTCATTGTATAAACAGACAGTTTTCAGGATTCATTGTGTTGTTACTCTACACGAACTGAAAGTGTGTTTTTACGTTAATGATGCCGACATTCAGAGTGATTACCGCCATAAATCTCTGATTCACCACTGAATGGTGGCTGATAGACTACAAGTTAATAAACTGCCTGAACTAATGGTATATCGTTGTTTGAAGTGGGATCAGCCATTAATAAATAAAACACAACAGCCTAAAATGCATAAAACATTGTCTAATTTAGATAGAGATGAAAAATAGTGTAAGCGTGTAATGTTGGTATTTGACAATACACTGCTAGGCGTTACACATCTTATTATAATAGAACCCGTGAACTGTGGTAGGGTATAATTCCATCATGGATAAAATTTATTTCGGTAAAGTCACACAGTGTTGTTATACAATTATATTTACTGATGACAACCACGTCTCGAGCACAATTTATTGCTGCTTATGACCATATCAAGACGCTACTCACACAACTTTCTAACTTCGTTTATATAATTTCATTATTTTTCATCGCTTTATTTGATTGGCGGTAGTATTTTCCATACTTGCGGTATGAGTAATGAGTCATTCCTATTGCACTTGTTGGGTGTAGATTCTGTGAACAGTAATCAACCTCTCTCCACCTACTTTATTTTTTATTTTTATTTTTTATTACAGCTTGATCCCACACCGTATTTTCAGTACAAGTGTGGCATTTTCAGCATGGATATGGGTAGCCCAAATTTTTACAGGCCGACCATAGATATCGGGTGTGCGTCGGCGGGGGATCGAACCCCGAACCATGTGCACGGTTGGCGAGCGTTCTAACCGCTATGCCACCGACACACTTATGTTACTTCTTAGAATTTTGACTATGCCTAACCCTCTTGTGTGATTGTGAGTCAATGCATGCGATGCATTTGCTCAGCTTTTTTGTAAATTACGTATCATCTTGGAGTCAGTTATCCTAACCTTCGCTAAATTCTTATGTCCCGACAATCTGACTACCTCCAATCTACTAGTTTACCCATGTAGTTGACGTTACAGTCACTACAAGGTATTTTGTAACTTATACCATTTCGTCTAATTGGGTCGGCTGGGTCTTTAAGCCTACAGAGCTTGTCCCTAGGGAGTTTGTAGGTTTGAATGCCATCCTAATTCCTGCTATATTGAGAATCCTTCGTAGGGCCTCAGATGTCCATTCCTTATATAGTAAAACTACTGTAGGTGCCTTATATTCTGCCTTATTTGTTATCATTATTGATCTCAACATTATTTTTATTTTGCTTTTGGCCTTTTCTGATCTTCCTAATGAATTTTATAGAATAGTTATTCAACAGCAACCAGCTATTCTTCTATCAATTTTATTTCATCTTATTGCATTTTGTTGATTACACCAATATTATTTACTAATGTACTTTATCTTATATTGATTTTATTCAAATGTCTAGAGATTATAATGGATCAGTTCACTATAATGTCAAAAGTTCGACATACTGTACAGTGTTCTGTGACTCTGGTGCCGAATGAATATGCTGTGGTTCTTGAGTGACAGCTAAATACAAATTCGAAGCGGCTGTACATTTGCAATAAAGTTAAGGGACCATCCGCAGTCACAGTAGCGTAACGGTTTTAAAACACCACATACCACATTTCAAGTGCAATAGACCAATATCACCCCCACAGGGGTATGCTGAAGCTGCTGCAGGCGAGTGGTGAGGCTAACTATGCAGTGGCTAACTGTAGACCAGAAACCGTTTCCTGACTATAAAACGGCGCACAAAAAACGTTCTTCTGATTTACACTGGTTCGCAAAAATGGTATTAGATACGGGGTCACTGAAGGAACCGTTAAAGTTAATGCAACCTATGCCAGTATATGGCCGCTGTAGATTTAAAAGCCTTTTGAAACATCAGGAGGCGGCTGCCAATAAATCATAGGATTCATTCAAGCTTTTTTCTAAGGTCTTTTTGTACTTGGCTGCCGTCACCTAAGAGGTAACCTAACTAATCACTCAAAGAAACATCCCGCCATCAAGTCACTGCGGGCTTCTTCATGACAACCCACAATGGATACTGCATCAGAAATCAAAGGCCTCAGTGTTCTCGTATTTATTTTCTCTTCAAGTTTGTTGCACCCGGAACTTTTCAGCAGCAGCTGTGGCTACTTCAGCATCCATGGAAACTTTATAAAGAGGTGCACAGTAAGGCAGCGATGTATAGGCTGCGTTCAAAGGGCTTATCATCCTAAGACATGCAGCGTTAATGTGTATGCTTCATGACTCCCCCATTACCAAACAGATCAGTAGATATGGTGGTGGACACTAAGGTGAATCGCCCCATTCTGCAGGAACAGCAATATGCGATTTGACGGCTCGAGATTTCTATGAGGGCTTGAATCTTTATGTTGAAAAAGGTAATAATGATCGCCTAGACAGATCATGCTTCTACCTTTAAACATATACCATTCGGTCAGCCTATTGCTGAGATGCGACCACGTGGGCTCTGCACAGATTCATGGGGCATCTTATAAATTAACATGCTTTCCTTTGTCGTATCTTCGAATACCACTTAACAATGTCTCATCTCATTCATTTCCTAATAACGTCTTCACTAAACCTAACATTTTATAGCTCTTTATGAATTTGATTCGACTTATTTTATTCCTATTCTCTATAGGATACGGTTGTGCACCAAATACACAAAAAGGTGTGATATAAAAACAACCGGCTTGTGGATAATTGTATTAAAACCAAAAGTGGACATCATGATAGTAAAACCTATATAGGTAGCATTGTAAATTGCAAATGAACTTTGTCAGCCTAGGGATTATAGTCTCCCACTGTATTTCCTTTATGAATACATCTATTAATGATACATTTCACTTACCTATTTCATTACACTTTAATGATTCACCTTAGCACCTTTACTTTTTTAAAACATCTTACCATCCCTTATAAACGTTGTACTTACCTCAATATTGGTTGGTTATCGTATGCCTACAACTACGGGTTGAAAACGAAACGAAGTCGATTTTCCTGCGCAACCTGGAGGACTGCTGTTTAATTCTACAATGATACGACATGGGTCAGACAAAGAGTGTATACATATATATCAAATATTTAGCTGTTGAAACATTATTAACTTGTAGACAATCTATTATTTGACATTATATCATACTTGATCGTGCCTGTAAAAATGACATGCATTTTCATGTAAATTTATGTTTATATGAAAATATACATTATTATTACCGTTGCCCAGTCTTCCTTGCCTCATTTTTCTGACTACCCTACTTATTTGTTCACTTATTTTACCATTATTTTATTTATTTTTTTTGATTTGTCAAATTTCATAAACTATGTGGTTGTTCATTTTCCTTCTGAAGTCTACATGTAGAATACGCATATTCTACATGAGTACGTGTGGATGGAAAAATTAAGTAATTCGTTCGTTCAAAACATGGAGTAAATGGGCAAAACGGTGCAATTTTCCTTTTCTAGACCTGATAAATATAGATAAAAGTGTGATGTGTGGGTAAATTGGGAAAAAGTGAGGCATTCAAATTTTAGCGAACATGGACAAACGGAGGAAAATCGAGAGATTAGGGAAATTTACGCTGCATTTTCCTCACTTTTTCCCCACGTCAACGCTGATCAAAATTGCCTATTTATCCCGCTTTTCACACTTTGCCCAAGTGCATTCTCCGACTGGGAATTGTATCTATTGTTGTTGCTCACTATTATTATTATCTGTCTTTACAATCGCTTTGGAAGCCTAACGGGTGAGATGATGAGTTTCATTCACAGAAGAGACGTGGTGTAAGCATATCTCATACTACAAACCACATATAACTCATTCATGAACTTTTCTTCCCGTGAAGTCAACCATGGACACCACAGTCGACTACACCAAATTTACCAGAGATCAGGAGCCTTTCCTCCACAAGCGACAGCTAATAAACCAATTTGGTACATACTAGCTCGTAAAAAATGATATTGGATATTGGAAGGTCATTCAGCCAGTGTGTTTGAACCGGCGGGGCTTCCAAACTAAGTAGTCTTTATCGTATGTGACCATTTATGGTCTTCTGTACATGGTAAAGTCCAGAGGGTGTATGGTGGGGATAGCAGTTTTGTACAGGATTTTCATAGCCCTTTGTTTTTTGCGCTTGAGTACATCTGATGAAGCCTTGAGTGGACTTTTACCAACAAGTCTTTCCAAAGACAAGAGGTTAGTGGTTTTATATGCTTGTTTTTAAGTCAATAAGAAATTTTGTGATTTTTTTCAATACTCTTTGTTCCACTTTCCACTTCAAGGCCGAATACGCTTTTTCACAGTTAATTAAGTTACCAAATATGATGAGTGTATTAATATATTCGCCATCCAAATAAAAAAGTTTGGGGCAATTTCAGGGTTTTGGGGATCTTATGGGCTTAGTGGGGGGTTGAGTTCGTGGGTTTTTCGGGGAAAGTGTTGTATTTCCCCAAAATTTCTGCCTCCAAATTTTTATTTAGGTATTAACTGGAAGTGTAAACTTTGATATATTTAGATGATCCAATGTTCGTGTACTTAGTGGTGAATTATTCCGTACTTTACTTCCTTAGAGTCAGTGACGTAATTAAATTTAAAATTGCTCTTAATTTTTCATAATATATAGATGAGTTCTGGTCGTTTGTCGACTTCCTATTGGGTCACTATCAATTGACTATTTATGTTGTATGAGCTTTTCGTCAAACGGCACTGCAAACTTATTTTAATAAATAAAAATAAAAATATTGCTAGTTCAGTTTCAAATAAATCTCGAAACACAAGCAAATAAATTTTTAAAATTATGTAGAGCTGATAATTGCGTTTTAAAGTGTACTAAAACATTGTGCACCCTGTCTGTAACTTAAGGGATGTAAATATTATATACGAAATTGCCTCCCTGAATAGAACAAGATGAACTGATTGTGATACACTTTAGCATACGTGTTGTCCAATTAAGTACGCTTATGATGTTATAGTTTGAATGATTACATCCGTTCGTTACATGAATTATATTTAGTGTTGAATTAATAACGGATTTTCCATTGAAAAATGCAATCTGTACCTGGGGATTCACTGGAACCCATTGAACCGCCTATTGTGGAATATTTTGTCAGGTTCGCTTAAACTGTGAAGAGGCTGGTGTCGGTTTCCAGTGTACCCCATTGATCCTATTTGTCTACTAACTTGGCTTCTTCATTATTACTACTATACATTTTGCACGCATGGTATGTTTCAGTTAGCTTGGAATATATAGTGTTTAAGGTAATTCCTCATCCAAATGTTCATCCCCAGTACTTTTATTCGGTTTCAATTTTTGAGCCAACTTCTGTTACATCTTTATTTCAAATAAGAGTCATGATAACTGAAATCCTGGTTGTGTAAGTTGAGTGTTTAACAGACTGTCATAGTCCTAACTACAAAACACCATTTACATGCCGCAAACAACCCACATTGACATCGCCTTTCTCAACGACAGGTAATGTTAGCTGACATAGGAACAGGCTGAAAAAAAGAGCCAGTGGCGGTCAAACCAAAACATGGCTTCATCAGTCAATGAAATCCACAACTGTTAGTTTAAGCTAACCACTTAGGAAGATGTAGACTTCCTGGTTGGGGTTCTCGGAACGGTAAAACCAATGAAGGCTGGAGACAAGTGGTAAAATGGTTCAAAATCGTTCTCAATGGCTGGTGCAGATGCATCCACTACTTGTGACTCACAATATCCTATAAAACTATATTGTTCTTCGATATTACTATTCCTTTTGCTTCATATATCTGTTTACTGTCTCTGTTTTGCATTGATTTTTACTTTCTTCTCTTGCTTTGTATGCTAATTGAAGTGTGGCGACTCGAACTGCTGCATATCGGTGCAAAGTTCTACATTGAAATCAGTTAGTCACCGTAGTATTTCGATCGGAATATTACCAAAATCAAAAATCTACCATTGTGTGTAAATAGCTATGTTTTTCATTTACGAGATATGAAATAATATTTGGAGAATTAATTTTATCAGGACGTAGTTCGATTGAATGCTCAAATAATCTGATGCAAGTATAATCTCTTCAGAGAAGTGTTAGTAGCCGTTGTTAGAGAGACATAGAGAAATCAATGTATTTCACTATCTCCATTACCCCTCTCAACTTAAGCTTGTAAACGTATACTTTTTCAGTGAATGTCGCTTTTCGCTGGTATATCAGTCGTGAAATCGCCACACAGAAGAAAGTTTCACTGCCTTATTATCTTTATTCATGCTAATTTGATAACGATTCGGTGTTTGACACCATAGGTGCTGGCTTCGAGTCTCAGTGGGGTCCCCATCTCTCACTAGAGATGTAGGCAGATCCTAGATCCAATAAATCCGAATGTGCTTTTTTCACTGTTATCAATCTTCCTTCTGTACATTGCTGCTCATTATCGTTCTTTTGAACTTCCTTCTCCACTATTTCCTATACCTTTGTGTGCTGAGTGAAATGTGACAACTTGAACTGCTACACTTCTGTGTTCTGTTTTGAAACTGTCAGTCAGTTAGAGGACGAGTCCCAAATTGGATGAAATCCACATCTGAGATTTCACTGTTGACCACCATCAACTGAATGACCTTATCATCTTAGTGTGAATAGCATTCATCTGTATGATCAATCAATTATTACCTTGATGTTATTCTTTGCTCTAAACTCTAGAAATACTAATTTATTGCTTGTGAAAACATCTCATCACTTAGGGAAATCCCTTATTTATATCTACATTTCGTATCGCTTAAACTATGTTTTCTTCTCTTTTTTTTTCTCAGCGAAAAATGCACAATGAGTACAACTCATTGTGTACCAATCGCTTCACAGTACAATCGTACTTGTCTTGGTAATCATTTGCCTTACAAACTAACAACTTCAATACCACTTGACGATGATGTGATTTTTTATGATCTTGAATTCTGGACTGCATTACAATCTATACCAGCTTGTTGGGACAAGTTACAGGTGAGCTTTTTCATGGCATTATGCTAAAACTAGTTTTGAAGTTTTGTTTTTACGAGTTGATCACGGATTGATATCAGTTAGAGAACCATTGAAAACCAGCCCTGGAGTACTGGAAAGTCAGTCGTTTCATCCTAGTTTTTTTGGGAATCATCGGCAGTACGTACCCAAACCGCGGGATTCGAACCCAGGACTTTCCGGCTACAAGATCAGCGAGCTCGTACACCATTCAGCCACTGGGACCCTATTGAATGGCTCATGAATTCTAACTTCTACCAATTCGTGATTTAGCGTGACCCCAACCAATGTCGACGGTGGGACATCCATCCTCACATGTGACATCTGGATGGATCTCACTGGTCACGACTTCTCACTAGAACTGTAGGAAACTCCATCATGTAGCAAGTCATTGGCGAGCATCAGATTAATTTTCCATAGTTGGTTTGTAAGGATTAGTTATGTTTTTACGAGTTGATCACGGATTTATATCAGTTAGAGAACCATTGAAAACCAGGGAGTTTTATTATTACTACTACCACGATTCATGTGTCATTAAGTTTTGATCCCAAATACTGCTGTCTTTCACTGTTTGTTTCCGTGTTAGAATAAAAATACTGAGGATTTATTTATTTGTTAAAACTCCAACTTGATACATTGTGGGTACCAAGAGATGTGCCTCACAAAATCCCATCTTTTACGCAACGGCTGAGATAATACCTCGACGCCCAGACCGAAGCAGGTAGTTGTCTTCAGAAGCCACTGTCAAGTCTGACTTGAGGCGTGATCCACAAGGTAGTGGAGCAGAGACAAAACTTATGTTCCCATGATTGACAGTGATGAAAGCAGGTTCATTTGCCATTTAATTCTTTTGGATTCTGGAGCGGATGTGCATCATATGTTTGGAATTAAGGCTTTCCAACTTTTCAATGTAGACCTGCATATCCATTAGTCCGGTTGTAAGCCTCAGAAACTTGGTTTCACCATTTCACTTTTGTGAAGAACATAGCGGTTGCATGGTGGCAGTGAATAGAACTTATATGGCTGACAGAGGTTATAAACACGTGGTCTCATGGGGTATTTCAAGAGTTAGACCGACGTCTACCTATCCTCGATTGTCGTAAGTCGTTTATGGGGCTTCAAGACTGATAATTCAAAGTCATCTGTTTTGTGGTAAATAGCGTTTAGTTCCAGTACGCGCGTTTCGTCGTAATTGTTCCCCATTAACTGGTAGTGTTCCCACTATTGGTTTAAACGTCAAAGCATTATCCTACTGAGGCACTTCTTGTACAACGGTTGTGATTCGAAATGATTTTTTCATACTTGGAGTGTAACTTAATTGAATAAGCAAACATAGTCGATTCGTAAAGGTAAGCAATTTATATGAGAACGCCTTATTAGAATGCAATATCTATTAATTTGATTATATGCGTATTCATCCGTTTCTTTTTAAAAATAAATAAAACTTTCTGTTATTTCTTTTTTCTTTCTTTTTTTGATGGTTGTGTAATGGTATTGTGTAATGGACGTACAGTTTTTCCTGTGCTCAGTTTATGTTCCTGAATGTGTTGTTAGCGTACATCAAACTACAAAATCATACGATAATAGACATTCATCAAATATCGAAGCTGATAATAAGAAGAATCCGCCTGAATTAGTGAATCAATCTTCAACTGATAGGAAATTCAATGGGATATCGGCAGCTAACACTACCTCGTCCTCCTATTCCGCTTCACCGTCCTCCTCCTCCCCATCATCATCGCCATCATCTTCTTCGTCTTCTTCTTCAACTTCTTATCGAGTTGTTCTACCAGAGGCGGAAATGTGTGAAGCTGTACACAAGGCCTGTCCACTTCTATTTTCAATTATTCAATCAATGGATAGTAGTGGTAATCGTCATCATCATCATAATAATAAAAGAGGAATCAATAATATTGATTTTACTGGTGATGACAGCAGCAATAGCAGGCGGAGTAGTAGCAGTAGTAGTAGTAGTGGCAAAACCAACGACAACAGCAACAACAACAACAATGAGGATGGTAGAGTTGGTCATAGTCGCGATAGCAAACGTTCATATTCATATCCGAAATTTTTTGACTGTTCCTTATACACTCCAGGATGTCGACAAGTAAGTACTACTAGTTGTTTATTTCACTGTGTTATTTTTATTTGTGTTCATTTGATAAATGTTAAAGTTGATATAAGCAACAGAATAAGTCTCTTTTTTATAGGTTTCATCATGAACTGATCTCAGTTAAAAAAGAGAACCCATTAGAAAACCAAGGAGTATTGGATAGATGTGTTTCGTCCGACTGTGAGACTCTTCATCTGTAGCGAATTGACCATCAGATTGGGTCCCAGTGACTGAATGGTCTATGAGCTCGCTAGCCTTGTAGCCGAAAGGTCCCGGGTTTGAACACCGATGGGTGTGTACTTCTGATGAGTCCAAAAATTAGGATAAGACAACTGATTAGTACTCCCTCGTGGTTTTCCAATGGTTCTTTAACTGATGTCAACTCTCTGAAAACCTACTCTTGAAGAAGCTTTTATTTCAATCTAGTTATATTGTTAAGAAATGAGATTTTTCAGTCCTTCAGACATCCAACTTTCAATTAAATGTATCACTAGTTTGCATTCCACTTCACTCTATTATGTATACCGAGACACATCGCCTTACTTGACGAGCAAATTAGGGTGGAAAAGACTCAGAGGTGGTTAATCGAAATCATGGCATCGGTTCATGAGAAATCTTTGACAGTTATTTTGAGCCAGCCACCGTAGGGAGTGGTGTAAACTGTTTGTCTTCATTGGACACTAGTAACTAGTTAGGCGTGTCAAGTCCTTTCTTTGAGGCAGACTGAATTGAATTCTATCAGTCAGCTTTGCAATGTGGCCACCATTTATTCTAGGTAGCTCGCTATCATGGTGCACATTGATTTGATGATATTAGATAGTTGGAGGCAATCGGCTACAGGAAACCTTGCCTCACCTAGGTTTCGTGCTAGCTGGCACTCACCAGTTAGTCAGCAAGGCGTATCTGCAACCTTGAAGGAACTCATGTCCCTTCTGAGATTTGAACCGGCAGTCAGAGAGGTTACCACTGAGCTATTCAGGCTCTTGAATGACCTCCTTTAGGACTGTAGTGGGTATTTTCATTGGACACTAGAATTCAGTCTGCACCAAAGAAAGGATTAAACACATCACACTAGTCACTAGTGTCCAATCAAAGTATCCAATACAGTCCTACAGGAGGTCAATCGCCAACCCGAATTAGCTAGCTGAGTGGTAATGTCTCTGACTGCAGGCAGCATTGGCTGGTGACGCGGGTTCGAATCTCAGAAGGGACATAAGTTCCTTCAAGGTTGCAGATACACCTTGCTGACTGGTGAGTGCCAACTAGCACGAAACCTAGGTCCAAGGCTTCCTGTGGCCGATTGCCTCCAACTATCTAAACTTTGTCTGTTTGGGGTCCTCGGGAAGCTAAGAATCAATGAATTGAGACTGTTGGTTTCCAATAACGTAGATGCTATCACTCTGCGTAATCTCTCAAATCCACTGAACTCTCTTTCTATCGTACACTTCTGCTTACTGTATTTCTTTTGAATTTCTGTTTTGTCTTACTTTGTGTGCTACATGGATTGTGGCAGCTGGAACTGTTGAACTTCTCTGCAAAATTTCTATGCTGAAATTCAGTCAGTCAACCAGTCGTGCAATTCACTCCACTTACTGAAGTTTCGGTCTCTAGTTAACAACAACGTCATCATCAACCTTCACTTAAAAATTGTGGGCTATGGTTGACTGATTGACCGACTGATGAAGTCGTCATAGAACTTCATATACAAATCTTCATTAGTTCAGCTCCAAGACCAACCGACTTCTGACCAGCCACTTGGGCGAATTGGGAATACCATGAATTAAATTCACGATTTTCAAATTATTCTGCAATACAAAAGTTTGACCACAGATTCATATCAGTTAGAAAACCATTGAATACCAGCCGGGAGTACTGGAAAGTCAGCTGTTTCATCCTAGTTTGGAAATCATCCGCAGTACGCAACCACCCACCACCAGGGTTCGAACTCAGGACCTTCCGGTTACAAGACCAGCGAGCTCGTACACCATTCCAGCCACTGGGACACGGTCCATTGGCAACACATGAATTCTAACTTCTACCAATTCGTGATACACTTAGCGCGACTACCGACCAATGTCATCGGTGGGAAATCCATCCTCACACGTAACCTCTGGATGCACCTCACTGGTCACGACTTCTCGTACTCATGCAGCCAAGTGAGGGCTTATGGCGAGTTGTCATCTGAAGTGGTGACGACTAGTGGCGTCCGTCAAGGATGCCCCTTATCCCCATTCCTATTCAATTTCATCATAGACGTACTAATGGACTTAACCCTAACACACTTCAGCGACTCAGGGATCGACTTGCTACCAGGGAATAATCTCGTTGACTTAGAATATGCGGACGATATAGTCCTTCTAGGCGAAGACTCTGACAAAATGCAGAGTCTACTGAACACCCTGAGCAACAATCTCCGTTTGTTTGGCATGCGATTCGCCCCTGTAAAATGTAAGATGATGCTGCAGGATTGGACTTCATCGACCCCTAGATTAGAAATAGGAAGTGAAGTGGTAGAACACGTTGACCGCTTCAATTACTTGGGAAGTACCATCAGCCCCAACGGGTTGATCTCAGACGAAATTTCAGCACGAATACAGAGGGCTAGGTTCGCATTCGCCAGTTTTCGCCGTCTCTGGCGTAGACGCGATATCCGACTATCGACCAAAGGGCATGTGTACTGCTCATCAGTCCGCTCCGTCCTCCTTTATGGCTGTGAGACCTGGCCATTGAGAGTGGAAGACATGAAAAGATTAGCTGTCTTCGATCATAGGTGTCTGCGTTCTATCTCCCGCGTGAAGTGGTATAATAAAGTGAGCAATATTGAGGTTAGGCGTCGAGTGCTAGGTAAGGTGGGGAAATCAATCGACGAAACTGTGAAATTACATCGGCTGAGATGGTTAGGACATATGCTACGTATGCCTAGTCATCGCCTTCCTCGACAATGGGCAATGTTAGCTGATATAGGGCCAGGCTGGAAAAGAGCTAGCGGCGGTCAAACGAAAACATGGCACCAATCAATGAAATCCACAACAGTTAATCTAAGCCACGTAGGAAGGTGTAGACTTCCTGGTTGGGGCCCTCGGGATGGTAAAAACCAATGGTTGGAAACAATTGGTGACATGGCTCAAAGTCGTTTTCAGTGGCTGGCGCAGATGCATCCACTCCTTGTGACTTATGATTTCCAATGAAACTGTTTTGTTCTTCGTTATTACTATTCCTTTGTCTCACACCTCTGTTTACTGTCTATATTATGCATTTCTTCTACTTTCTTCTCTTGCTTTGCGTGCTACATAGATTGTGGCGACTTGAACTGCCGCACATATGTGCAAAGTTCTATGTCGAAAACCGACCGACCGACCGACTTCTCACTAAAACTCCATGGGCCGCTGAATCGGATTCCAGTGGCTGAATAGCATACGAGCTCTCTGGTTTTGTAACCGGAAGGTCCTGAGTCTGAACCCTATTGGTCGGTGCTTATTGCCGATGATTCCCAAAAAACTAGGACGAAACGGCTGGCTATCCAGTACTCCCGGCTGGTTCTCTCTAACTGATATCAAACAAACCTTAATCCTTACAAATCAACTCTTGAAAATACAAAAGTAACTTTGTTAGCTTTCGTCCTGAATTTATTAGTCTAGTGTGTGAAGAGGGTACATTGACCTAACAGGTTTTAGCTGTATGAATAATGCACTTACTTTAAAATGCTTATTGTTAGTCGTCACTATTATTATTATTATCTTTTCACAAGATGGAGGTGATTTATTTACCTGTTTATATTGTTTTAGACAACCATTTTGTTTGTTTGACGTTGTCTAGACTGGCACACACACACACACACACACAAAATGACAAACATGTTTTTAACTGACATCCCGATCTGCTATTCCCTTGACGCACACACACACACAGTCAACGTCCCTTTTCTTTTCTCCGGAGTGTAAAAAGTCATAAGTAACACCTTTACCCGAAAAGACAGTTTTTCTTCTCTCCTCTAATCGACTAATCGACCAGTTGATGTGATGATAAAAACTGTAAGATTTGAAGGTTAAGTCCTTTAGCGAGTACTTAACGTAAAATTATTCACATCTCATTGACCTTTATTTTATCACAAAGAGGGATTAGAAAGGGACGGACTAGGTTGAAGAAGAGTTACACGGGGGCTGGGGGCATGGAATCAATAATGATAATAATAGTAATAGGTTCAATATATATGTAAAACTTGGGCATTGTGGTAGTACGTAATTTCATATTAATTTTTATATTAGATGTATCACACATACAGTAAAAGAGTATTATTTACTGGATGACATGTAGAACGTAATCTAGTATTGTGCATAATCATTTCAATAATTTAATAATTCCCATTGTAGCATTAAGAACACAATATTCAGCGAAGAGACTCTTTTCAACGAATTTATCAAGCTGTACAATCGTATATATTTAGTTTTTTTCATAAATTATATCCGGTGAGGGAATTAGGTCAAAGGTGTGAATACATGGAATAGATATTTATTTATTTTGTTTATTTAGTTATTCTATGTACTCTTCCCTTATTACTACGATTATTATTAATATTATTATCATTATTATTATTACTATTCTCACTCTGAATCTTTTCCACTTGACCCACTTGACATTTTAAACCCAAAATTATTAATTTTTCTATTTTTTATTTTTACAATATTGAATTCAATCTTATCAAATTTCACACCGTGTTATGTAACATTTTATATTCGTCTACTAATCTTATGATTATGAACCCCTTTTTAAAATCTATACACCCATCTTATGTATTATTCTATATACGACACTAATTGTATCTATTAGTATCTACTAGTTCACCTCCACTTGTGGAGCTAGAGAACGCTTTCCACACGGATACGAGAATATATTTCAGCATGGCTTTACAAAGGAGAAAGGAAGGGTGTGCGAAGCTCTATTTTAGAACACCTGATCGACTCCAACCTTGACCATGCTAAAATACCGTGTTTTCT